TCTTTCTTTTATTTCCGCTGCTGTGTATGAGCCAGAAAGATATAATCGCAGCGGAGAATGTCTAAATAAATATTAACAAGTAGTATGGAAAATATCAGGAATCAATGGAAAAATTTCTATTTTTCCCTTTTTAAGGTTGCGCAGTATTTGATGTCAGACCTGAGTTACCATGAATTTTTCATCGGCTCTTTAAGAAGACTTATGTAGTTATTCATAATTGCAATGTTTACATATTGAGGTTGCAAAATACAAGTTTTTTTTTTCATAAAGTCGAAAGATCCGCCCTTAACTGGGTTCTTTTGCTGTCAAATTTCACTGACGTCTGATCATATCTTTTCGTGTATCGACCTTTTAAGTATCAAAAAGAAGTAAATACCTGAAATATATTTCCGCTGCTCCCTCACTTCGATTCAGATCGAATGCCCTATAACAGCGATGAAGTCATATAAAGAAAGCCGGCTGCATACAGCTTTTTCAGATCATTATCTTAAAATGAAATTCTTATGAAAGAGTTTTCTATTAACCTCAAGTCGTTATGGACAACGTCCTCAAACATCCGTCCCATAACGTCTGCAATTATGCCTTCAGCCAGTTTTGCATTTCTATGAACATTTCAAGGCAAAAGGTCAACTGGAGCGCACACAGAAAAGACACAAAAGCCAGTGCTTCAAAATAGTTCAAATACATCCGGCCCTCGGCGAAATTAATGCTTCGGAACGCACTTTTCAGTATATTTCAATCTTGTCTTCCCTCTAAACAACATATCTTCGCCTCTTGGAAGATTTTATAAATATTATACAAAGATGCATGTTTTGTCATCACCGTCAGAAAGTTTACGATGGGGAAAAGTGATTGAATGTTTAATTTATTTCGCCTACCTAGACTAACAGATACATGGGAAGTGCTAGAATGAAAACAGACGCCGTTGAATTATCATACGACCGTTCTTCAAAATATCAATCAGTAGGTGTAATGTCACCATTGTTTGGATGTTTTCTTAGCCGTTTGAATTATCATACATGGGGCAAGAACAGTCCTAAAACTATGATAAAACTGTCCGTAGACACGTCCAATCCAACGATTTGTCCAGATATCACAGGCCTCCTTAGTCGTGCTTAACTTCAAGAGACAACTCAGCTGCAAGAAATTGGCAACAAATCTAGCTGGATTAACATAATTCTACCAAATAAAGGCAAAAGTTTTATGGGAAAAGTATCACTGAATTTATATTAACTTATAAGGGAATTGATCGCTCCTATATAAGAAATTGAGGTTAATCAATTACTAGCACCTTTCCTTCCTATGATGTAACATCAAACAGTATAGCAGCCTCCATTTGTAAGGAGTTACAAAAGAAATTAATTGCAAGTTTATTTCATATATCAAGGTGAAGTTCTATGAAGCCAAAATATTTTCATCATAGTCAAAAGCCGGCGCAAATAGAATTCTCCTAAAAGTAAATAGTCAATCTTTTGATGCGATCGTTCTTTCAAAAATGTTTCTTAGCCTTTCTGTTTATGCCGCTAGTATTAGTGACCTTACCAAACTTTGCAAAGTTTGTAAAGAAGATTTTTCAATAGAAGCTACATATCAGTTGATTATGTTATTCACGAACTTTACGGAAAGAGAGACCACTGTCTTTTTAATGAATTAAAAGACGAGGATTTCTTACTTTATAATTTTCATCCTAGTTCTGAAGAATCACTGATATGTGCGTTTTATTTAAAAAGCAGTAATAATAATAACAATAATAAAGACACTAAAAAAGATATGTCCACCTTCCAAGCAGATCCTGTTTAAGATCAAAGCTGTTTTAATAAATTCACTTTTAAGTATAATTTAGTCATCATTGTGAAGTCTTTGATTTCTCATATTTTTTTAATTTTAAATCCTTCTATTTGTTTGCAGTGGAACATCTTGATATCATTATGAATTGTTAATATTATTATCATTGTTATTATTACTCTATATTTTCATTAATATTGTCACTGGTAGTTTGCTGAAGGCTTACACAAGCAACTTCTAAGATAGAAATCATGCTGGTCGAAGTTTAATGTCGATGTGCTTTAATCAATAATCCTGTCCCCGAAATGGTTGCCATCGCCAGCAGCGATTGTCTCATGCACTGCCTTGCTATTCTTGGTCAAAAATTCCAACAGCAATAAAACTCTGCCACAGTATTTTTTATTAAATGGGTGTAACTTTTATCACGATAGCGAGTTTCGTCAACCCAATTTGTGTGATGACGTTTGTTTACTGGAACATATTCATCGTTGCTCGTTCGCACGCGCGAAGAATTAACTCTCAATCGACGCAATGTGATCCCGTAGGATCGGGACACTCCAAACGAAGGTTGGAGCGGGAACTTAAAGGAGCAAAGAGTTTGACCATCATAATGGGCACCCACTTTCTCTGCTAGTGCCCGCTGTTTGTTTTTTATCTTGTGTACACGTACATGTCTTTACAGGTAACAAAGACATTTACAGTTATTGATCATGTTATTCTCTTTCTTCGATAATGTAATTCGCTCTTTAACCCTCTTATTTACAGTGGTATCAACAGACAATTTCGAGCCGGCATTAAAAGATTTCTGTTAAGTAGAAACGAGAGCAAAGAAGAACTCCAAACAACGGCTGCCACCAGAACGTAAAAGAGACATGATAAGATGGCTTACGTATCTTAAGCATTTCGTAAAGATTTTATCAAATCGATATCAAGATTTTAATCAATACCAATCTTCGATCTGTTTTCGTCAGAATCCTACTCTGGCCATGTTGGAGATTGTTTCTTGGAAAGTGGGAGGCAGCTTCCTTACTTAGAAGCAATTTTCTTAGTCGAGAAAGAAATATATATTCCAAACAGCAATTTTGCGAGTGGCTCGACGTGTTTAACTGCACGAAAAAGGCAGACCTCAGGAAAAGCCGCGTAGAAATGTGCAGAGGTTTATCAGGCGCGTGCAGGAAAACTACTCGTTCTCGAAACATAGACGAGCCCTTGAGATCTTTTCCTGTTTTCTTCAATATTCACCAGTATATTTTTATGCTTTTCCCGTTGACGCGCAACTAGTGCTTAATTCTTTTAAAACAGAGATGTACCAGCTACTTCTCTTGATTTAAAAATATGCTCATATTGTTACGGTTTGATGTTTTAATATGCTCTGAATCAAGGCTCGTATTTCAATGTAATCCTGGAGGATCTATCTAAAATAAAGAAATGTATTTACACATCCCTTATGAATCGTTGAGTATTAATTTCTCTGTTTAATGCAAATGTCTCTTTTTTTTTCTGTCAGTTACTATTGACAGTATCTGAATTCAAAATTTATTTTTTTCACCATTTTAGAGGCATATTTCGTGAAATTAAGCACAAAACAGTATCACTACGAAACTCTGTTTCATTTTGTTTTATTGTTTCAGTCAGTCTTCTAATAACAGTATATAAATGTTATTTTTTTAACATTCTAAAGGTATCATGTGTCGTGAAATTTCAAACGAACCGTATCAATACGAAACTCTGTTTTTTTTTTAATTTTTTGTTTCTGTCAGTTTTCTTATGACAGTATGCGAATGTAATATGCTTTTAAAAGGCATCATTTTACGTGAACTTTCAAACGAACCGTGTCACTAAGAAACTCATTTCTTTATTAATTTTTTTCTGTCAGTTTTCTGAAGACAGTATGTGAATGCAATATTTATGTTATCGCTGTTCCGAAGCAAAATATTTGTAAAAAATTCGATCCAAGCGCAAAGTGAAATTAGTAGAAAGTCTAATAGGTCACCGTTCCCTTTATCTGCAAACCAAATTTTTTTTTATTGTGGCACGATAAAGTTACCTAATAAGACAGACCCCAAATGTTATTCGTTCATGTATACTTTTGAACCAAACCTGATTTCACTTTCTTTCTGGAAATGATTAATATCATTCCACATTTTAATTTCTTAAAAGACAAACCGAACTTTTAAGGTAATCTTAAATTATCATTTCAGATAATGGGAAAAACCACGGTAACACGAGTGATTCTATTCACAACAGAATAGTGAAAAGTATTTTTAAAAAATCAGAACAGTAAAAGTAATTAATTAATGAAAACATAAAAATTGAATAACTGAAATGCAGAAGCAAGATTTTGACAATTTATATATGATCTTCCCATATGTAAATCATTGTGAGCCATTTATACAGGAACACAGACACGCAATGAAGGGGATTTGGAGCATTTGAAGAATAGTTGAGGAATAACAGATACCCAGACCATCCTCCATCCCTCCCCGCAATCTTTCTCAAAATAGCTTTTATTAAACATGAAGCTTGACTAAGTGTTTAATTTGAAGTGTGCTCTTTTGTGATCCACCAAATTAAAGGAAAAAATTATATATATATATATATATATATATATATATATAATGTTTCTGGCAGCTGCAATGGAATCACAACATGGTCAATATGCTGCAAAAACACTGCTGTCCTATGATTAGCAATAGAGCTTTATCATGTGGTGGCCATCGAGTCTTCAGGGTATGTGCAAGCAGAATTACATGTTGTGGTCATAAAAGAACATGTCCTTTTAATGATTTATATTGCAGCGAGAAGCATTACTTAGGCAGTATTCTATAAAAAACTTAACACAGGCAGTAATTGCGAGCAGAATTAGTCAATAACTATGCAAGTTCAATACTACTTCCTAGGTGGAAGAAATTTCGAAATTTCCCGCTTAAGTAACCTAATATTCTTAATGCAAACAACTGATAAAGAAATACTTATCACATACTTGATGGGCTTACTCTCAGATACCAATGAGTCGCCTGCGGTATACTCGGCAAATCGTCGGTCACCCTCGCAATCTTCCATATCAGTGCGGAACAACATGTTGGCAGATGCAGTGAGACGGTGAAGGTAGTCATTCCCGAGCCAAACCTCGCCCTCCAGATTTCCGAAGCCTTTTTTGTATGATTCCCAGTCGACATAAAAGTCAACAGAGCCATCCATGCGCCTCTGAAAGGTGGTCCAGCCTCCGCCGTCAGTTGTAATGTCACACAGAACTTGAAATGGTTCTTCTTCATCAGGGTAAACCCAGTACACACCGTTGGTTTTGGAACCATTTTGATAATAGTCAAGACAGTTCTTGGGGCAGCCTACAATGGGAATCCATGAATATCAAATTGCTCATGGTACTCCAGTGGCTTTAAGATATCCATTAATTCGTAAAAGCCTCCTTCCTATGCCTTATTTCTAAACTACTTAGTTGGGGGACTATGAATGAAGGAGAAAGCTAGCTGTAATAGAGTCTTCCAGATCTTTTACTTCCCATTTGAATTTTGTGACATTGGCATAAAATGTACTTCAGCTACACAAAAAGCTGTTGACTTTTTAAAGGGGATCTGAACCTACCTATGACACACTTGCAGAAATGAGTATCTGCCCTGTGGTCAGCTACACATATTTCATCGTCTTTGCAGGGATACTTATCCTCGCAGGTGCCCTTGTGATGAGAAAACAAAACATCCATTTTACAGTTTTTTTCCCATATTTGATGCTCCTTAATGTCCCCGATGGAAACTCTTTATTGTGATTAATCAGATAAGGTAAATAAAAAAAATAACTCTTAAAGTTAGACATGACAATTTTCGAAAATTCATTAAAAAAAAAATTACGTAGACATCACTTCTGTTTAGATTTACTTTTTCGAAACGAAATCCTTTCTGTAGTTGAGACATTTTAAGCACACTTTTGGTGTTAATGCTAAATCACAGTTTAAGTCTTTTTCTCAGCGAGAGAAATTAAACAAGCAGTGTATGTTTTATCCTCCCTTGCTTAAGACCAGCGACGTTGAGAGCGTCAGCGCGAGCAAAATTGTCCAAAAGAATGCTGAGATCACATCATTTTCCGGTTTTTCCTCAATCAGCATTTCCATATCCGCCATTAAATCCAAGAACAGCCTAGTCAAAACCAATTAACGAATTCTCCAACTTCTGCTTTATTTAAGAGAATGTTTTCAATTTAAGCAGAACCGAACGATAAATCAAGGCATTTGGGTTCCATCAAATTCTCTTCATCTCAGCCCTAGAGTACGAATCTTTATTTCAAAAGAAAGTTTTATTCTGCCCAAATGGAGTTTACGCTTCTTTTTTCTTGGACTCGCCTCACGACCTTGCAATGTGTGATGATAACAACCGTGAAAGTGTTCTTATGGTAACCTTCAATAAGCGCAATTAAAATATCACCATAAAATTTCGTCCTAATTCATTGTGTACGTAAATTAATCTAATAACCTTTTAGGGAATTCTTATAAATAAACCGTAGGCCTGGTGTTGTCATTAGAATTCCCACGCAATCGTAATTCGGACGAATTAACGGTCTGGTGAGATTTACCTGATTAGAACTGGTCTCATGGCGACCTCAATAACACTGACTCAAATTATTACTAATGTTTTGTCCTTTCGGAAAAAGTAAATTTGATTTGCAGCCCTCCTAAGAAACCTTGCTAAATAATTCATGCCTCTATCTCATTAGATTCGCCAAGTACGTATATCAATGTTTAATTTACGTCTTGTGATTTGGTATAGTTTTCCTTTTTAGCAGTGAAATCAGTGTAAGATCAGTTGTAGCCTGGGAACAGGCTTGTTGGTACATACCTCATAGGAGAACAGCATATCATTTATTAGATAGTAAGCAGCGCCAGTGGGCATAATAAAGCGAATCCTGTGTTCTCATTGGGTACCCGAACGAGCCAGATGGCCCCATCTTGCCCGCTCGAGATTGTCCGCTTTGATTCCACGCAAGAAAAAAATTTATGTTTAGCGAACTTAAGTAGTTCGTAGTTTTTTAACAATGCCGCGTTGGAGTGTGAAAAGCGGTAGAAGGAAGTCAAAACAGAGAAAGCATAAACAATTCTTAGGAGTTTATTCGGTGCTCTAATTACAGTTGGCTTTTTGTCTTCGCTCTAATATTCTTGATTCGTGTTAAAGCGAAATATTTTCGCTACAAAGTAAAATCCTCTGTTGACCAAGCTTTTCCGGTCAAGATGGCTGGATAGTAGCCTCGTTCTTTTATTCGTAAACGCAAACCAAAAAATTTCCGCCAATATCTAGCCATCTTGACCTCACGCCTCGTCAAGCACGTGTTTTTTATTTCATGTATATTAACTCGTCTATGAGCACATTCTAACACTTAACTAATATTGTGTCCAGAAGTTACAACTGTCTACGATGTCTATAGTAGATGCAGCTATCGACAGTGGTCGACACTGTCCACAGTGATGAGATACAGTTATCTGCATTATAGACAATGGACACAGAAGATACAGCCATCTTCTTTATCCACTGCGATCTGTGGGTAAATATTTGTTTTCCAAAAAATTAAACCGTCTGATAACATCCTATCAATTCACGAATTTTTTAATTTACCAGATTTAAAAATTGGGTTTACTTTGTTTTATGCATGGTGCAAGTAAATACATATCTAATATGTTTCAATAAAAATAAAGCAAATCTCGCCATTTTTGTAGGTGCAATCCACGAGATTTCTCATCTTTAACTGACCAACTGGCACCTTTTGTGTTTTCCTTTAGGATATAATCGAAAGAAAGTAATCGATAATGTACTCTTCACCATCCTGCGAAGTTTAATATACAAGAACTTAGACAGTGCTCAGTTCTGTCGCCTCGTCCGTAAAACAGAGATCCTTGGGCGATTTACTCTTTTCTTTCGGTGCCAATGTCACCTCTAAATTTTCATAATCGCTGATGTTATGTGAATCATCAATCGACGTTTGAACCGTCTTACTCGAAGGACTTGATTCTGCACGCTGAAAGAGAGAGAGCCAAAAAATCAGCTTAAGTGGATGCAAACAAAGACATAGACATAAAAATATCAGTTCATCTTTTCAAGAAAAAGATTAAGAATTCAGAGTGAGAGATCCTAAAATCAGAGAATCTTGAAATAAGTTAAATCCATCTTGTGCAAATGCAGTATTCGAACTGTAACCGTCTCCATCTCTCGGCGCCAAAATTTGATCACGTGACTTTAGTTGTGAAACCGCTGAGACTCAACAAGACTCGGGAGAATAGGAGAACCATTCATGCGTCAAATTCTCTGGTGGGAAAATTAATTATCGTACCGACGAAGAACTCGTGTCATCTCTAGGTTCAGCGTTCATTGCAATCAATTTCTTGAGCTTCAGACGCTCCTTTATAATAGGAATGTAGTGCTTTGGTACGTCTGCATCTTGGGCGATGGCAAGGAGATCTTGACCATCGCAACCGTCCTTTTCTGCAAGATAAGATACGAACAAAGATCAATGGAGCGGTCAAATTTGTGTATGCAAAGTTGCAGTAAAATGCGTTGTTAAGAAATTTCTTTTGCTTACCTTTCCTTTCGTAAGTCTCATTCCATGCGACTGTACACTGTAAAATGAAAAGAGCCAAATTGACCCCAAAAGCCAAATTGGCCCCAATTTCTTCAGGGCCAGTTTGGCCCATCAAGGTTCGTTTTGGACTATTTGAGCCAAAACGGGCGGGACAGGTACCATTTCGACCCCTCCAAAATCTGAATTGGCCCCTATGAATTCTACTTTGGAACTTTTTCTCAATTTGGCCCTTCCAAGAGTCAAGTAGGATTGACCAATTTGGCCCCAACGAGGTACAATTTTTGAAAAAAAAAAGAAAATATAAAATTAATTTTCTTTTTTCGACCATATTTCGTTCCCTATACTATTCCTTATAAAGTGTTCCTCTCGTAACTGAACACCGAGTCACACAACGAATTAATCGTTGGCTTTTTCTCGAGACGTGAGCGTGAGCTGCCTGTGATGGCATTAGTCGAACCTAGACCACGTGCGTCGGAAACAATAATGAATTATAGCAGCGAATTCGTCACTGAAGAGGCTGTTTCTTGGCTACAGTCGCATGGAATGAGACTTAAGAAAGGAAAGGTAGGCAAAAGAAATTTCTTAACAACGTATTTTACTGCAACTTTACATTCACAAACTTGACCGCTCCATCGATCTTTGTTCGTATCTTATCTTGCAGAAAAAGACGGTTGCGATGGCCAAGATCTCCTTGCCATCGCCCAAGATGCAGACGTACCAAGGCACTACATCCCTATTATAAAAGAGCGTCTAAAGCTCAAGAAATTGATTGCAATGAACGCTGAACCTAGAGATGACACGAGTTCTTCGTCGGTACGATAATTAATTTTCCCACCAGAGAATTTGACGCATGAATGGTTTGCCTCTTCTCCCGAGTCCTGTTGAGTCTCAGCGGTTTCGCAACTAAAGTCACGTGATCAAATTTTGGCGGCGAGAGATAGAGACGGTTACAGTTCGAATACTGCATTTGCACAAGATGGATTTAACTTATTTCAAGATTCTCTGATTTTAGGATCTCCCACTCTAAATTCTTAATCTTTTTCTAGAAAAGATGAACTGATATTTTTATGTCTATGTCTTTGTTTGCATCCACTTAAGCTGATTTTTTGGCTCTCACTCTTTCAGCGTACAGAATCAGTCCTTCGAGTAAGACGGTTCAAACGTCGATTGATGATTCAGATAACATCAGCGATTATGAAAATTTAGAGGTGACATTGGCACCGAAAGAAAAGGGTAAATCGCCCAAGGATCTCTGTTTTACGGACGAGGCGACAGAACTGAGCACTGTCTGAGTAAGTTCTTGTATATTAAACTTAGCAGGATGGTGAAGAGTACATTATCGATTACTTTCTTTCGATTATATCCTAAAGGAAAACACACAAGGTGCCAGTTGATCAGTTAAAGATGACAAATCTATCTCGGGATTGCACCTACAAAAATGGCGAGATTTGCTTTATTTTTATTGAAATATATTAGATATGTATTTACTTGCACCATGCATAAAACAAAGTAAACCCAATTTTTAAATCTGGTAAATTAAAAAATTAGTGAATTGATAGGATGTTATCAGACAGTTTAATTTTTTTGAAAACAAATATTTACCTACAGGTTCCTCCTGAATGGCTTTCAAAATTCCAACTACCATCGAGGGTAAGAAACTTTTCTTTGTTTTGTTTTTTAAGTCTACAAGCAATCCTTATTTATTCATGAATACTGAACTAAAACTGAAGTGCATAGAGGTATGATTTCTTTTCTTGATAAGTACATATACAGTTTGGTGAAAATACATCATTGATGATCACCATTAGTGTGTTTTTACTTCCTATGCACAGTTTGCTTACAAATATTTTGCAACTTTGTAGTTGCAAAAATTTACTGTTCTCCAACAACAAATTAATTTGCTCATTTGTTTGTTTTTTTGTACAGTTCTCTGCCTCAGTAGAGTTGGATACCCAGAAGGGATATCTCATTAGCAGCCTAAAGTACTCTGAGCAACAGTGGATTGCAAAAAAAAAATTATTGCATAGTATCCTTGTATGGTTAGCAGGATACTAGACTAAGTTGACTTGGAAACTGAATGGATTGGTATGGTCTAAAAATCTATTGCTTCACCTCTTCTGCTTGCAGTCAAGAGAGACAATT